GCATGCAACATAGGGGCCCAAAACCCTCAACCCTAAACCCTAAACCCCTAAACCCCTAAACCCTAAACCCAAAGCCCTAAGCCCTAAACCCTAAACCCTAAACCCTAAACCCCAAGCCCCAAACCCCTCAACCCTGCAGTCCTCGACGACATCCGGCGTCTGCGTCCGCCGACGGGCGCGGCCCAGAAGCCTCGCGTAGACGCCCACGAGCACGGTGTTGAATAGCACCTCTGGGGATTAGGGTTTAGGGTTTAGGGACTAGGGTTTAGGGTTTAGGGTTTAGGGATTAGGGTTTAGGGTTTAGGGATTAGGGTTTAGGGTTTAGGGTTCGGGGTTAGGGTTCGGTCTGCATCTTTGGGGCTGCTCCAGGGTTTAGGGCCTTAGAGGGTTTTGGGCTCTGTAATCCAAATGTTTACACTTTTAGGGCTTAGGGTTTAGGGCGTTATAGGATTCAGTAGGTTTTAGGGTTTAGGGCTTGACGGTTGTCGGGTTAAGGGCTTAGCTTGAGGGCATAGCGTTGTTGCTTAAGGGCTCAGGGCTTAGAGGCTTGGGGCACGAGGGGTTGGGACTTGTTATGGGCTTCAAGCCTTTTGGATGTGTTGTTGAAGGGATGAGGGGTTGGGGCTTGTAGGGCTTGGGGCTTCTTGAGCGTGATCTCATGTAGGGGCCTGAAAAATTAGAATAGGGTTTTGGGGCCCATTATACTATGATTAGAATAAGGAACCCCCAAAATAGTATAGGTAATTATTTAGGCCCCTATATTACTTGGAGGTTTCCTGAACAGGTCTGACGATTTAGGACTTCTGGCCTTAGGGCTTGAAGACGGGAACTTACACGCACTTCGACCCCAGGACCTCCCCAGAAAACCGAATCTCCTCAACCCCCAAACCGGAAGCTTTTGGGGTTTTGGGGGCTTAGGGCTATCCCCCTCAGGTCCTCCACACCGGAGACCCCTCAAACATAAGACGGGGGGGAGTGCTCCCCTGTAAGAAGTCCTGTTTTTCGGGGTCCCGATGCGGCACGCAGCGTCACTGTCCATGTTCATGGCCACGTAAACAACCCCGCTCAAACCCGCCGAGACCTTTGTAATACAAGGGCCGGAACAAGTGTAAAGGAAGGAATGCCCTGAAAATCCCTACATACTTACCAACAAACTACAACAAAACCCTATTCCAACCACAAAGTAATGAAACTTCTCAAAAAAACCCAAACCCTCAACCCTAAACCCTAAACCCTATTCCAACCGCACATCAACGAAACCCCTCAAAACCCGCCCCAGGGTTCCCGGGTCCCCGGCAAAGAAGACCCGGGCGGCGGTCACCACGTGCGGCAGAGCGCACGTGGCAGTGTTGGTGCAGCCCAGGTACCTGCGGCTGGAAATTAGGCTTAGGGGTTTAGGGTTTAGGGTTTAGGGTTTAGGGTTTAGGGTGTAGGGTTTAGGGGCGGCATCCTGCCTGGTGGTCCTTATAAGAACTAAGATTGCGGATCCTGCACTTTGGGGTCCAGATTCATGGAGGTCCGCCGGTTTTCGTCGAGGTTCGCCCAAGCCTGTTAGGGATTCACCGAACTACAGCTCAGCACTGTAGGGTTAGATAGGGGTTCGGGTTGAGGACCTGTGACCGAAAGGTTTCGTGTTTAGCGTTTCTGGTGAAGGTTGAGGTCTGAACCCTTCCTTGACAGCAAACGGCTCCAAACCACAAACCTATGTGGCATACCCTACACTCTAAACCCCCCCTCCCGGCACTGCTGCATAAATGCCAAACCGGTTAAACCTCAGATTCAATGAATACTACAGCTGCCTGAATACAAAACAGTTTCTCGAAGTCCACGTTTGCAGTTTTACCATAAGACACGCCCAAGCCCTGTTCCGGTCTTGCAGGCCCCTATATTTTGTCCACGTTAAACCCTCTAACTCAGCCCTCCTTATCAAGAAACCCTAAACCCTAAACTCTAAACTGACAACCGGCCCCAGGCCCCCTAAACCCCGCTCCGGGCCTGAAGAGCACCTGCACGGAAAAGAAGAAGAAGACATCCAGGGCCAGCTCCTTCCTCATGTTCAGGGTTTAGGGTTGAGGGTTTAGGGTTGAGGGTTCAGGGTTTAGGGTTTGGGCTTTAGGGGCTTAGGGTTTAGGGTTTAGGGTTTAGGGTTCAGGGTTTAGGGTTGAGGGTTTAGGGTTCTGGGGCTCCTTTAACTTTAAGGGTCCTTAGGCTAAGGCTTCCAGAGTGCTCTATAAGGGCCCAAGGCTTCAAGCGGGATCCTGACATGAGAGTTGGGAGGTGAAGTCTCGGGCTTGGGTTCTGGGCTTCAGGGATAAGAAAAGTGCGGGTTCAGGAGTTCGGCTTGCTGGCCTGGGGGGGGGAGTTCTCCCTATAGGACCGTGGAACCTGAAGCTAAGACTGGAAAGCCCTGCCACCCCGAACGCCCTGGACTGGAAGTGCATCATGCTTGCAATCCTGAGATTGCAAAGCCCTAACGCCTAAAACCCCTGCAAGAAGCAGGGCAGCAAAAACCGGAAAGCTCTAAACCTAGGCCCTAGGCTTCACGTCTCGGGGGGTGGCCTCAAGAAGTAGAACTTGGGCTGTTTTGAGTGGACATCATTGTCGAAGCATATCGGGACAATCAATGCGTAGAACTACTGCTTTTAGGCCTCTGAACTACACCATAGAACCCGCAACCGCCCGGAAGCTCCGAAAACCCTCTGCCGGGGCCGCCGCTTGTGATAATCCTTCTCGGGAGCGCCTCCTGATCCACCTGGGGAACTCCCCAAACCTCTAAGCCCCTTAAACCCTAAACCCTAAACCCCAAAAATCCTAAACCCCCTAAGTCCTATAAACCTTGAACCCTGACCCTAAACCCTAAACATCTAAACATCTAAACCCCTATACCCCTATACCCTGAACCGCTAAAATCCCTTCAAAACCCCAAAACCCCAAAACCCCTTGAGATCGAGAAATTATTGAACTTCAACCTTGTGGGGGTGTGGCCTTCGGGTTGTTGAGGGTTGGTTCAATTGGTTGGGGCTTCGGGTTTAGGGCGAGGCTTTCGGGTTTAGGGGTGTAGGG